TTCTGCTCTGCTATTAATATTATTGGTGGAAACCTGCTCTGAGGAAAATGTGGCTTTCTTGTTAAGTTTTTAGTTTTAGTAAGAGTTTTACGGCACTTGCAACACAATAAGGTCATATAAGTGCCGAAGATTAGATTATGTGTTACAAGAGAGAAGTTTGTAACATACACAAAAACGAAGGAGGAGAGATAAGGACAACAGTGGTTTGATAGGAAAGAAGGAGCATGTTCATAACTGTGCCTGAACTACAACAGGGAACTACTGCCTTTTCTTTCCTCATCCTTACTATCGTCATTTTCTTCTACTTCTTTTGTATGTTTGTCACACTCTTGTGACCCGCTATTTCCGGGGTGCCTTGAAAGAAGAAAACAGACTTTGTGCTGTTAAATCTAGAGAGGTGAGCAGAGTAAGCCCGATTCCCTGTAAAGACTTCTCTGTTGACATCCATCCCTTGGCGCTCATATGGACCTTATGCAGTTGCGAGCGCCATAAAATCTCTACTAAATGAAAAAAATAAAATGAAAAACACATTTTCTGTCATATCATTTTTCTCAGGCATATATGTCATGTTTTTTCCTTTGTATGAGCCTGAGGTATGTTGCTCTTCCATGATGTAAAGACTGTACTATACCTACAAAAACCCCAACCCAAACCACATAACATCAGCCAGTTGTTAATAATGTACTAAGCCCAGAGTTTTTAATTAAAATATTTTTTTTAATTGCACTTTTAAAATCTGTGGCATCGCTTAAATGTGCTCAAAAAATAATTGTCGAAACTCTAAACGTTAAGAAAAATGAGTAGAAGTACATTATGTAAGAATAAATGTTAAAGGAATGGCAGTTTTTTCTCTCCCTCCTGTAATTTTGCTTTCTTGGCTTAGTACATATTAACAGCTTGCAGAGGATAAGTCGAAAAACTGTGAAGGCTAGGACTTGTGGTCAAGGTTTGTTATTCTGGCCGTTTTGAGTTACCAAGACTACGAGGTCAGATCAGAACCAACTGTTCTATCTGCTCTATCAAAATCATAAAATTATTCAGAGTCGTTATTAAGATACAGATATTCAAAGAATTGCATAATAAAAAGCTTGACCTTGTTTTGAAACTCAGAAATTTAATTTTAACAACCAATTTCTCAAAACTATGAACTGAGTAGCTGGAACTACTATCTTAAAACCAGTGAGGAGATAAGTTTCCAAATGGTTACTCAAAAAAATTACAAAGTACTATTTGCTCATCACCTAGTTTCGAGGAATTTGACGCTCTAAATTTTGAGTTTAACAACGTGGTACAACTTTTTTGAATGTCATTCTTTGAATACTGGTACCTTAATAACAACTCCGAATAATTTTACACTTTTGATAGAACAGATAGAACCTTTGTGAGGCAGTGTGGTGGAATCAGGCTCTCATCAAAATAATCAAAGTGAAGAAACTTGCATTTTTCTGCCGGTTTGTGAATTTTTATCAAATTTTTCTTTTTTGGCTCAACACTTTTCATGCCCACTAAAGAACTCATTTCAGTGGGGATTTTTCTGAAAAACGTTGAATAAAGGCACAAAAAAAGGAAAATTTTCAGTTATCACGGAAATAACAAATCTTTGGCGGCCATTTTCTGACTAATTTTACCTCTGAAGACAGGTGACCCCCACCTCATTCTTTCGCAAATATCTCAACTTGTATTCAAAATAAATGGACATTTTTTTCACCCAAATAAAGACAACTGAACAAGCTTTAAGATGATACCAATAACTCGACATGCCCAAAAATTGACGAGAGCCTGATCCCACCTCGCTGCCTCACATTTGGTGTCTGACCTCATGGTCTTGCTGACTCAAAACGGCCAAAAATGTCAGATAAAATTCTATCTAAGGTAACAAAATTACAGCAGGAACATCACACACCAACAAAATGCCAGTAAATGTTGGCTTTTTTTTTTTTTTTTTCTCATTTTGTTGGTGGAAGTGGAACTAGTCTTTTGTGAACACTTGTATTTGTGACATTTATGGTTGTTGATGCATTGCGATTGTACACGATGTGATAAACAATAATAATTGATATCAGGAATAAAAATAAAATAACATGCTGATGCAAATAAAATTAAACTTCCTGGTTTTTCTTTCTTTTGTTCTTATGTATAGCTCACGTACAGGTGTTTACACTTCCAGGTTTTTCTTACCGTAGGACGTATGTATAGTTCATATATATATATAATATATATATATGTGAGGCAGCGTGGTGGAATCAGGCTCTCGTCAATTTCGGGGCATGTAGAGTTTTTGGTATCATCTTAAAGCTTGTTTATTTGTCTTTATTTGGGTGAAAAAAAACGTCCATTTATCTTGAATACAAGTTGAGATATTTGCGAAAGAAGTAGGAGGGGGTCACCTGTTTTCAGAGGTAAAATTAGTGAGAAAATGGCCACCAAAGATTAGTTATTTCCTTTGCTTAAGAGTCCGTGGTAACAGAAAATTGACATTTTTTGGTGCCATTAATCAACGTTTTTTAGAAAATCTACACAGAAATGAGTTCTTTAATGGGCACGAAAGGTGTTGAGTCAAAAAAATAAAATTGGATAAAAATTCACAAACCTGTGGAAAAATGCAAGTTTCTTCACTATGATTATTTTGACGAGAGCCTGATTCCACCACGCTGCCTCATATATATATATATATATATATATATATATATATATATATATATATATATATATATATATATATATATATATATACATATATGAGTTTATAAATTTCATGGTTTTTCTTTCTTGTGCACTTCAGTGAAAGATGTCCGATTAAATTAGTGAAATTCTCGCACAAATGTGTGCTAGGGTGATATCGCTACAATTTTGTGTTCATTCCTATGGATTATAAGGACTTGTAGAGCTGAGAAAATGAGGTATATTAAAATTTTCAAAGAGGTTTGGCGCAACTTTTTTTCCTCATTCGTTTTAGTCGGAGGGAAAATACAATACAAGCAGAATATAATAAGTCATTGTTATAATTGGTAGAAACAAATTCCTCTATTTATTCCCATCAGTTTGGTATATGACAATACATATTATAAAAGCAACTTCGAGCTGCACAGCTGATGACCTTAAACTGCCAGTTGGAATTTATTAGTCTCAAAATATCGGATAAATATGATGGATACAACATCCCAGCAGAAAGCCTGCGCCGGATACTCAATAAAAATTCTCCCCACTCAGGAAGCTTAACTCGGGTGCAACAGACTGCCTAACTGCTACACCACAGACGTCCGAGCATTAATTATTATTATAATAGTACGTCTGTCAATGTCTGATGATGACCAATACATCCGCAGAGGAAAATATTTCTCCAGCGAAATAGAAGAATTAGAATTAGAAGAATCAAAAGGTTAAGAAGATGACTTGTGGCTTCTGCTGCGGCCCGCATGAGACCAATTCTGGCAGACAAAAGTTTGCCATATTTTGAACATTTAAAAGCTCCTCTTCCATTTGTGGATGGGCACATCTTGGCATGGCGGGCTTCTCTCTTGCTTTGAGTTTATCTTATTTATCAATTCAAACAACTTTAAATGACAATGGCAATGATAAAGTCAAGCTCTTAATCCTTTTCTTAGTGTAAGAATACAAGTACTATCAAAAACAGGCAGATCTCTGTTAAAAAATGAACAAAACATTATCACACATCATGTAGAAAGCTACAGCAAACACTTGTAAAATAGCTGACACTACACGGCTACTTTCTCAAAGACTTGAGATGGACAAGAACCGTTTGCAATAATCAAGAAAACAGTAAGTACAGAGATTTAAAATTATTTATACATACAACAACATAGTAACAATGTCACACAAACCAAATTGTGCCCCCCACCCCCCTCCCCCACCCCCCTCCCACCCCCCTCCCCCACCCACCCCAAACCCCCCCCCCCAGCCACGAACTAAATCTTATCGTACTTTACAAACTAAGTGATATTCGCTTAGATAAGGACGACAGATGTTTGATAGCAATAGGAAAGTAGGAGCAAACAACACCAGAGCACCAGCCAACCGCCCACAATTACCTTTTTCTCTTATCTCCTTCCAAGTGTACTTTCACGAGTTATGTCTCTTTTTTTCTTTTCTTTTTTTTTTTGTAAATGTTTTACAGCGCTCGCAACAACATAAGGTCATATGAGCGCCAGAAGATAAGAGGTGTTACAAGAGAGTGACAGACATAAAAAGGAAGGAGGGGAGATAAGGATGATAGATGTTTGATAGGAAAGAAGAAAATAAACCACACCAGAGCACCCGCCAACCACCCAGAAACTTTTGCGAAAATTAAAAAGAATTTAAAACAAAAATGAAGCCAAAAGAAAATAACAATAGATGCACATTTCTGATTATATCAATAGCAGGGTTTGAAAATTTCATTTTTTTTTATTAAAGCAAACAAGAAAGAAACAAAGTAAAAATGAAGAACAAAAAATCAAAAGTTGAATTAGGAACTAAAATATTTTCTTGAATAAGGACTGGACTTGACCAAAAACTAAAAACTACCAAAGTCAATGAATGCAACAAAACATTAGAAAAGAGGCAATCTCAGTTCTAAAAGACGCTAACAGAAATCTCCTGAATCAAATATTGTTATTAATATTACGCTGTGCCACACAGGTATTTCATACATCTACATGTTGGAAGAAATACAAGTTGAAGTTCAAAAAGAAAACCAACTTAACTTCTTTTCCGATGTCAGATACACGATAGTAAAGCCAAATTTTTACATGCAAGATAGCAAAGCAATAATCAGACCAATTTTTAAGATTTCCCCTTCCTTGAATCAATGAAAAAAATCTTGTTTGTTTTAGTAAGAGTTTTACAGCACTTGCAAAACAATAAGGTTATATAAGTGTCGAAGATTAGAGATGTCACAAGAGCGCAACAAACATGAAAAATGAGGAGGGGAGATAAGGACGATTGATGATCGATAGGAAAGAAGGAGCACACCACACCAGAGCACCCCCAACCATCCACAAAGAAATCTTGACACTCATAGTGGTGACTAAAAATAATGATGATCATCATCAGAAATTGTCAGATCTGAAACAGACACAGGCAATCTCAGTTCTACAGTCATTTCTCTGCTTGGAGGCTCTAAAAAACAAACACATAATTACATATTATACAGATGATAAGGGGGTAATAGCCGACCATAAATGAAAAATGCACATGTCCTACTGACTTTACACACACTTTTCTGCATTCACTAAATGCAAGCTATTCAAAGCCGACTTGTAACAAAAATATTTAGTACAGATCTCCCCAACTGACAAATGGGCAGCATCCTTGACATTATTATTCCAAAATCTGGTCTCGAATGGTCATAAATTTTCTTCAGAAACTGCAAGTCTGAGAGGAGCATTACTAGAAAATAGAACGTATGTATTTTCTGACACAAAACCAGACTTCTGCGGCACCCACAGCTAAAGAAAGCGAATGAAATTTCTGGTTGGCAGTTACGCCAGACAGGGAAGCTGTGCTTGGATAAACTTAGCCTGAATCGTCTGAATCTTTGCGGGTAGCTCGACAAAGAAGAGGCGCTTCTCAGGATTCAGTTGCCAGCAGTGATCTTTCATGACTGAGTAGATGTCCGGGTCAATCTCTACCCTGCCAATCTTTTGAGGCAGACGCCAGCCACTGGTAAGGAGCGCGTGATACGCATCTGAGCTCTGATTGGATTCACTGACTGCCTGGCTTGGGTGCTTGCCCCCTGTGAAGGTCTCCCACATGACAACTCCGAAAGACCAGACATCACCTCTGGTAGAAAACTCCAACAGTTCAGGGGGCATCCTGGTGGATGAGATCAAGCGAAAAGAAAAACATTTACATGAGGTGAGGACAAGATGAAGTTAACCCTTTCACGACCACAAGGTTTTCCTCACCTGGTGGACCGGGCCCTATCTGTGACCTACTTTCTGATTCTGTTGATGATTGATTGATTGAGTAGATGTTTTACAGCACTATCGACCCAATTTTGGTCATTTAAGTGCCAACAGGTTTCACCGCAACAAAATCAGACATGTTTTAGTGAGAGTCTTTCGGAGCTTGCAACCGCACACGGTCACACTATTCTCATTATGCTAAAAGGACAGACAGACATTTATGAACATTTTTGTAAATATGGTAAAGACTTATTTACATTTGTATATAATATTAATTTCAGTGTATGTAGATAATATATTATACACTGATAACAATAACTATATATTTTTATATTCTATTAAATAGTCCTATTTCTTTTACATAACTTAAAATTTTTCTAGGGTCTACAATGTCAAAAAGGGTTTTGATATCTTCACATTTAAAATATTTCTTACGTACATCATTAAATTCGACACATTCCGTTAGGATGTGCCGAACTGTGAAATTTGTGTTGCACTCCACGCAAAAAGGAGCTTCCTCTCCTTCGAATAAATGTTTGTGCGTGACGTGCGGGAGTCTTATCTTTAATCTGGTATAAATCACGTTTTCTCTTCGTAGGAGAGACAGGGGTTTCCTGGGCGCAAGTTTCGGTTGAATGTAATGGAGTTTGTTGTGTATTTGTTGATTCCAAATTTGGGACCAGGAGGATGTGATATGTTCTTTTACTTTCGGTTTCATGTCAGAGAAAGGGATTTTACTATTTTTGTTTTCAAGTAGTTTTAGAGATTCTTTGGCAAATTGGTCAAAGGCTTCGTTGCCATCAATGCCTACATGGCTTGGAAGCCAAGCTGTTGTAATAGTTTTTCCACACTGATGTAGAAAATGCAGTTTAATTATAAGTTCTGATTCTGTCTACCCTCGGCAAATTAAAGATTCAGAGTTCAATTTTCAACATCGGCCACATGTATTATAAACGAAAATAAAGGGGAAATAATGACCTATCTCAAAATGTTGCTAAAAATTAAAAACGTTCATTCTTCAACTTGATATTTCAGTATCCATTCATTACAAAAGTAGGTGTGGATTTGAAGCAGGAAACTAAGAGCCGTGAAACATGCTTATGTTTGAAAATTAAAGCAATTTAAAGAAAACTGTTAAAATAATTTTAAAAGTTCAAATTTTTTTTCATGTGTCATAATAGTTATGTCCAAAAGAGAATCTGACTTGATGTTATGTAATGACAGTTCCACATCTTAGCATGCCATCTGTAGGTCTGTAAATACATGTTTTTGTAGGAGATATGTGAGGCAGCGTGGTGGAATCAGGCTCTCGTCAATTTTTGGGCATGTAGAGTTATTGATATCATTTTTATAAGCTTGTTCACTTGTCTTTATTTGGATGAAAAAAATATCCATTTATCTTGGATACAAGTCGAGATATTTGCGAATGAAGGAGATGGGGGTCACCTGTTTTCAGAGGTAAAATTAGTGAGAAAATAGTCGCCAAAGATTAGTTATTTCCTTAGCCTAAGAGTCCGAGGTAACTGAAAAATTACAATTTTTGTGCCTTTAATCCACGTTTTTCAGAAAAATCCACACAAATATGCATTCTTTAATAGGCATGAAAGGTGTTGAGCCAAATAACAAAAATTTGATAAAAATTCATAAACTTGCGGAAAAAAGCAAGTTTCTTCATTTTGATTATTTTGACGAGAGCCTGATTCCACCACGCTGCCTCACATATACATGAATAGAAAAATTCCAGTAAAAACGAAGTATTAAAAACTGTATCATCAACCCTTTGTGCTACATTTTAGGTACCCATCTATTGGCAAAAGCTCATATTATGTGAGGCATCTTGATGAAATCAGGCGCTTGTCAAAACAACGAAATAGGAGAAACAGGCATTTTTCCGCCAGTTCAGCAATTTTTATCAAATGTCAGCTTTTTGCCGCAACCTCTTTTATATCTATATATAAAAACACATTTCCATGGGAATGTTACCCAAACTTTGGCGGCCATTTTCTCGCTAATTTCACCACTGAAACCAGTTGACCTCTCCTTCTTCGGTCGCAAATATCTTACATTGTATATCTTGACCATTATTCAAAATAGATGGGTATTTTTTCATGGGTTGAAAGCAAGGCAAATGAATAATAATATATATAAGCTTTCAGATGATACCAATAACTCCCCATGCCTAAAAATTGACGAGCGCCTGATTCCACGGCATCATGGCACACAACACACAAAGTAGGCCTACTCACCAGAAATAGGGCAGCAGCTCTCCTTTCTTGAGAGAATAAACCTGAGTGTTTCTTTCCATGACTCTCGACAGTCCGAAATCGGAAATCTTTGCGGTCAGCTTTATGTGCGATGTAGACTCCTCGTCATAGCACAGGAGAATGTTCCTCGCAGCAAGATCACGATGGACTATGTTCTTGCCACTCAAGAAGATCATACCCTACGGGCAGGAGAAATAGCCGAGTTTAAGCAAAGAAGCATAATGATAATAATGACAATAATAATAATAATAATAACGACAAGAATGATGATGATTGATAATAATAATAGTAACAATGATAATAAAATAATAAAAGATAATAATAATTACTATTATTACAATGATAATAATAATAATAATAATAATAATAATAATAATAATAATAATAATAACAGTAATAATAATGATTATTATTACTATAACAATAACAACATTGGAACCTGGAGAAGAGTCACAGAAATGGATGTATAGAAAAGTGGGAAGACACAGAGTGATATCAAGCGACTAGCCCAGGATAGGAAAAGGTGGAAAGTGTTTGTTCGTGGCCTATATCCTGATCCAGGATGAGGAAGGCAATGATAATGAAATCTGTCATAAAGCCACTTGGAAATTTCAGTTTCTGGTACCTTGGATAAGTCAAAACGAAGGATGAACAGCTGCACAATTTACCTGAATAACATCATCGATGAGCTTCAAGAGTGTGGTCAGTGGTTGTTTTTTCGTCTGAGCAAACTCCCTCAGCGTTCCTTGGTTCATAAACTCCATGATGAGTGTATTGATATCAGACTGGAGCCCCCTGGCTGTGGATGTGTAAGCATGAAAGGCAAAAGTGAACGGAAATCATATCAATGGAAATTTTGACACTGACACTTTGTTACCTGAACGGCAACACCAATCCTGTTTTAAAAAAAATAGTTTAAGTAAGGTTATACGGCGCTCGCAACTGCGTAGGGTCATTTGAGTGCCAAGGGGTGGATGTCAACAGAGAAGTCCAAACAGGGAATCAGGCTTACTCTGTTCACCTCTCTAGCCTCAACAGCACAAAGTCTGCTTCGACTATCAAGACACCCAGGAAATAGCAGTTCACAAGAGAGTCATAAACATACAAAATTCTACTGTGCATAAGAACATGTTAATATTCCCCCTTTGGGAATGGCCTAAAGACAACTTCAGTCAGTAGCACAGCCCTGGTGGGGGGACGAATCCTGTTTAGTTCCGGTTCTAGTTATGGTAAGAGCTTGACGGCACTTTCAACACAAATAGATCTTACGAGCTCTGAAGATGACATGTGTTCCTCGACAGCAGCATACAAAAAAAATAAAATCAGGAGGAGAGACAAGGATGACAAATGTTTGATATAAACGAAGGAGAAAATCACACCATAGCACCAGCTAACCATCCACTCACACACGAATCCTTAACACCACAAAAGCTTCATAAGATCAATTCTGAGTGTACGACATATTAAAGAAATGATAAGAAAGGAACGATTATCTGGAAAGGAAAGGTGTCGCCATAATCAGACAGCCACCGGAACAATCAGTATGGATACCTTGCGGGCTTTGGTGTTGGGGGGAATGAGCACTTATGGACCTGTCCGGTGTGCAATGACGTTGTTGCCCAGGACAGGTAATACAGGTAATACAGAAATGAGCTTGCTCCAGTTACAGGAACTTACAAGGAATGAGAAACATTACTTCCCAACATTACGTCCGAACAAAGGATGAAAAACTACAAACATTACTTCTGAACAAAGGATAAAAAACTACAGACATTACTTCTGAACAAAGGATGAAAAACTACAAACATTACTTCTGAACAAAGGATGAAAAACTACAAACATTACGTCCGAACAAAGGATGAAAAACTACAAACATTACTTCTGAACAAAGGATGAAAAACTACAAACATTACTTCTGAACAGAGGATGAAAAACTACAGACATTACTTCTGAACAAAGGATGAAAAACTACAAACATTACTTCTGAACAAAGGGTGAAAAACTACAAACATTACTTCTGAACAAAGGATGAAAAACTACAAACATTACTTCTGAACAAAGGATGAAAAACTACAAACATTACTTCTGAACAAGGGATGAAAATCTATTATTAATATTACCTTGGTGTCTCATTATATCACCAAGTAACTAAAACAAAATTTCAAAAGTGGAAACTTACGATTGTAGCTGCAGTACAAGACCTTCACAATATTTGGATGGTGCAACTCAGTAGCAACAATAACTTCTTTGAGGAAGGAGCCATTTTTCAAGGAAGTGAAATTCTTCACATCCTTGATTGCTACTTTTCTTCTCTCAGGGAGTTGGTTCAAGCACTCATGAGGAAGTTCCACTGTGCCCTCCCAAACTGTTCCATAATTACCCTGTTGACAGATATACATTAATTACAGTTAAGTTTAGTATTTGTAAGAAAAAAAAAAAAAAAGAGTTTTACAGCACTTAAAACACAATTAGGTCATCTATGCACTGTAGATTAGAGGTGTTACAAGAGAGTAACCAGACAAAAAAAAAAAAGGAGGAGGGATAAGGATGGCATATGTGAGGCAGCGTGGTGAAATCAGGCGATCGTCAAAATAATCAAACAAAGGAACTGGCATTTTTCCGCAGGCTCATGAATTTTTAACAAATTTTTGTTTTTTGGCTCTTCATCATTCATGTCCATCAAAAAACATAATATTTCTGTGGGGATTTTACTGAAAAATGTTGAATAAAGGCACAAAAAATGGAAATTTTCAGTTTCCACGGACTCTCAAGCTAAAGAAATAACTAATCTTTGACGGACATTTTCTCACTAATTTTACCTCTGAAACCAGGTGACCCCCACCTCCTTGATTCGCAAATATCTCGACTTGTATTCAAGATAAATGGATTCTTTTTTTTCATCCAAAGCAAGTCAAATAAACAAGTTTTAAGATGATGCCAATAACTCTACATGCCCAAAAATTAATGAGACCCTGATTCCACTGCGTCATGACACATATTTTTGAGAAAGGAAAAAAGGAGCGAACCACATCAGAGCACCCACCAACCGTCCACTGGTAAGAATTTTATGCCACTTGCAACACAATTGGGTCATATAAGACCCAAAGAATAGAGTCGTCACAAGAAAGTAACATTTGGTTACAGAAAGCAAAGATCACAAAAACCAACGTAACTAATGTGAAACAATTAACCCTATCCGTACATCGCGCTTCACTATCGTATCCATACAACGTGGGGAACTTTGTGCCACCACTTTCCATAGAAGAAATTTACTCGTTAATCCTATCCGTACGCTTAGCATAGCAGTCTGGCAAAATGATTTTTTGAGAAATACTGAAAGTTTCAAAGAGATCGTACTAGATCTAGAGGTATTCTAAAATGTCAAGAACACAACCCCCGGGGTACAAAATGACCCCCTAGGGCATACGGATCTGGTAAAACCTTTTAACATTTACCAGCTGACACTTCAGATGCATCAACCAGCTCAGCATTGGATGCCGAAAGCTGAATGTATCCAGATTTATATTGCGTTGAAGTGGTCATTTAGCACTTCTGTATTATGTTTTGAAGGAAGGGTTTGAAAGGTGCCCAATCTAAGTCTTAGTTTAATACATTTGTGAGGCTCCAAACAACATCAACAATAAGATAAACAAAACTCCGAACAACATCAACAATAAGATAAACAAAACTCCGAACAACATCAACAATAATATGAGGACACACGGAGCCACTAGACATAAAATGTGGCCCACCCAAACAACACTACAAGAGAGGCTGGATGGGCCAACAGAGGAACTCGGAAGGACAGCCCATTGTATGACTGATACTGGACTTCAAGTTTCATGTGAGGAGGAGGAAGAGGAGGAGGAGGAGGAGGAGGAGGGAGAGGAGGAAGAGGAGGAGGAGGAGGA